TCTATTTGTTTATCTTTATCTATCTACCTATCTATCCTATCTTTCCTATCTACGCTATCTATCCTATCTAGCCATCCATGCATGCATGCATGCATGCATGCAAAAACATATGTGTCTATATGGTACTTGATCTAAAGCTCCTTGTGCTGTAATCTATATGAAAGGCCAACTCCATAGCCTCAACATGCCTTTGCGTAAGTTCCGCCCCTTCCGCCCCCCCAATGAAAAGTTTCAATTGGCGGGGATGTTTTCAGAGGGATTTCACAAAAGTTTTTTTTGGTTTTATTTTTAGGGGGTTTTTGATAAAGGGGGGAAGGGATTACTCGACAAGAAAAACCTAAGTAGAAGTTTTCGGCATAATAACGCGAAGTAAAATGATAAACGAACAAAACATAGGAACCTGTAGTAGCAGTAACAATATTCATATCGTTAAATGATGCGAAACAGGCATCATGAACAAACAACCATAACTGTTTTAATGCTGCTTAGAATATTGACTGTCAAACAGCATTAGAATGCTATGCGTTGATGATATTCCTACTAGTAGTACATGACATTCACAATAAAGACACATAAACATAATTAGTAGCATTAACAACAAGATTAACAACCAGCAACAATGATAATAATAGCCGTAATTCTGCAGCTCGGCATCTTGCACCGTTTACAGGACATCCTCGAGAAAGGCGGACGCTTCCCTGGGCCGTTCAAGCAGTACTTCATTGCCTGAGCTTGGAAGATCTAGAAGCATGGGTGTTTAGGGTTAAGGGCTTAGGGTGAGACTGAGGGCTTCTAGGGTGGGCAGTCAGGCTCGGTAGTGGTCAAGAGTATAGTGGAGGTTTCACAGAGGATCTTTAGAAGGTTGCAGAGACAGATCCGAAGAAACGAAGGCACTCCGGTGCCGGCTGAGTGGATCTTCACGGCTCCGCCTTTTCCCTGCCTCAAAGCCCCAAGTGCCTTCGCTTTACGTCCTTCAAGAGGCACCTGGTCTGGGCATGGAGCAAGAAGGTGCCTCTCCAAAATCACTTTTCCAAAACAACCCGGAAGCCTTGCGAGGTTTGTTCTTCGAAGCGGCTTCCATTAGGCCTATTGCTTGAAGCGTTGTCTGCCACTCAAGGCTCTAGCTGCAAGTGCCTCGGGCCCGTAGAAGTGCTTTTCAGCAGCATGCTGCTCTCAGAACTGTTTTAGTCTCCCTGGCGTACCCGCGCGTCACTGAACCTTCGCATGCGCCACAAAGTGCCGCATCAACGCTATTTCCAACGAAGTGCCAGCAAGGCAACAAGAATCGCATTCCAAAGATCCCCAAAATTGTGATGTGGCCGGGTCACGCCAGGAGTTGGTGAAGGTTGCAGTTTTGCCGTTCCATACGGATTGGCTCCCTGCCTCTGCGCGGACATAGATTGGTGCAAGACTTCTGTCATACGACCTGGCTCGTGTTTCGTGTAATGGTTCGGCACTCCCTATCCACAGGTGCTTGCCACATGATTTGGCTTCTAGTTGACAGTTATCCCGTTTACATACTTGTTGAGATTAGGTGTCCTCGGCCCCTTACAGTCGGATCCGGGTAGCTTCAGTTCAGTTCCTGCATTCCTCCGGTTCAAACTGGAAGATCCGAGCAGTTCAGGCTTCGAGAAGTCTCGGACGCTTTGATTGAAAAAAGCTGAGCCAGGGGTTGTGGCTTTAGGGGTTTAGGGTTTATGGATCAGGGCTTTGTGCATTGCAGCCCCTGCTCAAAAAAACGGTTTATGGATCAGAGGCCTCACAAGAAGCCGACGTTGGCAAGTGTGCAGTCTAATCTGGGCATGCGTGCCGAAACCCGCTCAACCCTGCTCCGAGGTGGGTGTTTCCGAGGTACGGCACGGGGCTCCAGGGAGTGTTCTGCCAGCTATGTAAGGCTGATTAGACATTAAGATAGGGGCCTACAAAATAACCTACACTATTTTGGGGGCTCCTTACTCTAATTCTAGTATACTAAGTAACCCTAAACCCTAAACCCTAAAACCTAAACCCTACACCCGAAACCCTATTCAGGCCCCTACATTGGGCCCCAAGGGGAGGTCTCCGAGTGTCGCCAGTCCCCAAGGCCTCCAGGTTCGGCCCCGAGGTGTCGGATCCAGGTCTCAGGCTGCAGGAGCTTTAAAGCTTAGGGCCTTAAAGGGTTTAGGGTTTAGGGTTTAGGGTTTAGGGTTTAGGGCCTAAACCCTAAACCCTAAACCGGTCCTTTGGTACGCCTTAACATGGGGCTTACTTGTGCAGTTCTGAAGCCGACTAACCACCCTGCAATGCGGCACGTCCTTGCTCAGTAGGAGGCAAAAAACCGGTCCTTTAAGGCGTATAGGTGCATCAACCGGTAATGACACATGTCCGAATGCTTCAGTGGCCATTGCAATATGTCCGATACCTGGTCATTGTGAAGCCGTGCACCACTGACCTTGTATCATGCTTCCCCTGGATATGATAAAGCATTTTCCGTGAAAGGAGTAATTCGGAGGATGCCCTGGGGAGGGTGTGGCAAGCCGTGCAAGAATCCGCCCATGCAAGCATCCACGCCAGACAGGTCACGGCGGAAGCCGAACTTCTTTCGGCCGTGGTCACCTTCTTCGAAAGTGCCGGCATCCCAGATAGAACTGCTTCGATTCTTCCCAACTGCTTCGATTCTTCCCAATTCTTTCCGTGGAGGGGTCGTGCATCTATGGGCATGCACAATGTGGCTAGCAAGTTTAGCAAGCACATGCCACATGCCGCCAGGCTTTCACAGATCGGCGTCCGTATACAATCATGCAACCCCCCCAGAAAACAGTCAGGCGGAAGCCTCGCTGAGTTACGACACATCATGCCGTCAGGAAAGTCCCGTTCCTGACAGGTCGGCATCACATCGAAGGACATCGGGCTAAAGATCAACTCCCGCAAGGCACCTTTCAGATCTTGGGAAGGGTTCCCTTGGTGTCTGAAATCTGCATCTAAGTCAGTGATGCGATTGATCAGAGTGTGTTTCTTTCAGTCCTGTGCTACTTGTACAGGCTATATTATAAATATATCATCGATTGGCTATATGCATTTCCATAGGTGCTGCTCCTGCATCGATACGCAAGCCCTCTCTTTGTATCATTAGCCTTCCTTACATGCTTGCAATGGTTATGGCAGGCAGCAGGCGCGAGCTCCTTACAGAAGCAGCACTGCAAGTGCAGCATGATGTCTAAAGAACAGTGTTTTAAACATTTTCGCCAAAAGCTTCTCCAGGTGTAGTCGCTGTAGACGTAGGCTCACCAGCAACTACCAGCTTAATCGTTCAAACCTCATGTCGTCTAGACCTGGCGATTGCTGGACTCTGCTGCCACTGCAGGGTGCAATGTGCTGCTGCACGCAGCCCCCGGTCAGACAAACGAAGCTGCTGCGTTCTAGTCACGCGCGTAGCATCTAGGCTGCTCCCCCTGCAGGATCGTATTTCGCTGTCCTCGTAGTCGAAGCACCCCGGAAACTTCAGAAGGTTGAGAAGATCTCCTAGAGTTACTACACTCAGCGGACGAGCGCTTTGCAGGTGCTCGGCGCAGTGTTGACGAGCGCCGGAGTGCCTGCTGACAAGCTTGGTGCTGAGGTTTCAGAGAGGGTTTTTTGGTATGGAGGGTTTCAAAGGGGTTGCAGGGTTGGGCGTTTGCTTTGAGGTTCTCAAGAGAGGTCTCAGGTTTTAGGACTTATGCCTTTGTAAAGCAAGCAAGGGCCCCCTTGGTGAAAAAGCTTCCATGCCAAACCACAGGCCCATGGGCTTTGAGATCCCTGGCAACCTGCGCCGCACACGGCCAGCAAAGCAGACAACTCAAGGTTCGCGGAGACGTGTGTCATAATCGACAAGCTCGACAAGATTGGTTCCGATGCCGTGAAGAAAGAGTTGGGTGACAAGGCCTCCCGTGTGTCAGGGTAGCTAGAGAGATATGCATGTGTGGCTCGTGTCTTTGGAGATTCTCAGGGCTTTTCTGCGGGCAAGTGCGCCAAAGGTTGCAGGTTCCATCTCCTCCTTGTCATCGCCAGCATCTGCAGCCTCATCACAACCGCCGCTGTCATCGAACCACGACGACGACGTCAACTTCGGCAAAAACGGCAACAACGGCAACGGCAACGACAACAACGACAGCAGCAGCAGCAGCAACAACAACAACAGCAGCAGCAGCAGCAACAGCAGCACCGACAGCACCAACAGCACCAACAGCGCCAGCACCAGCACCAGCACCAACAGCACCAGCACCAGCACCAGCACCAGCACCACCACCAGGACCAGCATCGCCACCAGCACCACCACCAGCACCACCACCAGCACCACCACCAGCACCGCCACCACCACCGCCACCGCCACCGCCACCGCCAGCGCAGCAACACTAACGACAGCGATCGCTGGTAGCTAGTATGCATTTTCTGGCATGACTATGTTCATCAGTACCAGTACCACTACTGGCTCTCCACGGCGGTTGCGGTTGTTGTTGTTGTTGTTGTTGTTGTTGTTGTTGTTGTCGTTGTCGTTGTCGTTGTCGTTGTCGTTGTCGTTGTCGCTGTCGTTGTCGTTGTCGTTGTCGTTGTCGTTGTGGTTGTTGTTGTTGTTGTTGTTGTTGTTGTTGTTGTTGTTGTTGTTGTTGTTGTTGTTGTTGTTGTTGTTGGTTGTTGTTGGTTGTTGTTGGTTGTTGTTGGTTGTTGTGGTTTTT